CCCCCCCCCCCCCCCAAAAAAAAAAAAAACACATGTGGAACTTACAAAAATACAACCTTTAAAACCAAAAAAAGGTGGAAAATGGTCAACAGCTAACATATCCGATCTATTGTACTTCCTGTAACACCATCACAATCACAATAGAGTTTCAAAAGTTCATAGTCAAAGTTCATTGAGAATCTATTTAGCCTCACTATTCGAGATCTTTTATACTAAAAAGCTAAAGGGTGCTCAATAATTAAGAGTTCACCCCTCAATATTTGGTTACATCTTTAATCATACACCAATGTCCCTGAAACACAACAATCCCAAATTAGATTAAGCTCAACAAATCCCACAACAATATAAGGTAAAAGTCCCCATAAACAGAAAATTCACAATTAAAAGATAAAATAAAACCCTAAACATTGATCTGAAAAACGCTAAACTTCACTGGAGAAGTTTTCCAATGGGCAAAAATTTATTAACTCTTTTTTTTTTTTTGGCTACAGAATCAAGGGTGGCTAGTCTTTAGGGTGTGTGGAAAGTATCAAATCTGATCTAAATCCACAACAAAAACCAAAAACCAAAGCAAAAACCACAACAAAAAAGAAAACCAAAAACTACTATAATATTAGTCACCATATTATCGCTCATTTGGTTACGAAATCAAGTTCTTATAACGTCACCCTCTACTATCATCCGTAATTCATAACGTCACTCGACCACTCTTCACACGTCACCATTTATATAGAAAATTTAAAAATTATTTGAATAAATTTAGTTTTAATTTGATAAATTTAAATATTAAATTGATGAAATTAAATATTAATTTAGTNAAAAAAAAAAAAACATTTTTGCGTCGGCAAAATGCCGATGTAAATAATTTATTTTACTTGCTGACACAAAGAGTTATTTTTTTGCATCAGTAATTTACCGACGCAAATAATCTTTTATATAATTTTTGTCATTTTAAATATTTATCATTTACTTCAGCAATTTGTTGATACAAATACTCTCCTTACACATTTTTTTTATTTATTTTTTGGATCTAAACATGTGCATGCTTATTTGTACACATTTTTTTTTAACTGCGACAGAAAAAAATATAACTAAACAACTAAAAATTATAAACATGGATCATTCATAATTATGGATAAAAATATTTCAATATTCATAAAAAGAAAAAAAATTACAAATACAAGATAGCCGAAATTTTCATAAATGTAAAAAATTCAAAAAATACCTATCAAAATTATCAATACATGATTGAACTAAGAAAAAAAAATTGCTCTCCCAATCACTAAATATTTTTGAATGATCCATTCTCTCATTTTCAATTCTGTTTATTTTCTCTATATGTATGATCCATTCTCTCATCAATCCCTGTAAAAATAATTTAAATTTTGTTATTATTATAGCCAATGTCAAAGGAACCCCTCCGCCCACAAACCTCTAGACACAACCTCGGTGCAACATTTAAACTAAGGCTATTACAAGTCCAGCAGCTATAAAAGCATGATCAAGCTTATGTACCTTATACCAATGCGAAGTCCTTCGCATCAAGAGAACATGATTATCGCTACCAGATATAATTCATCAAAGAGCAAATATTTTAAAAACTAGCTTTGTAAAAAAGAAAGAAAATAAAATCAAGCCAATGTTGTTCACAAGCAAGTTAACTAGAGCCAACAACAATTAAATGAGAACGGAATTGTTTAGACATAAAATAAATAAATTTTATAAATATCAATGTACCAACATCTAATAATTTGAATGCACTAAAAAGATATCACGTGACAAAAACTGAAGAATAACAAAAGATCGTCGGGCACAATCATGTTTAAAAAAATAATAATAATAACTAAATGATTAATTTTCGTTGCTTAGGAAACATAACTATTCTTACTAATCCAACACATCAAAACCAAAGATCAAACACAGTTGAAAAAAAGAGGTTAAACCTCTAATCAATCTCTCGGAGAGACGGTGCACCGGCAGCAACATTCTTGACGGTGAACTTCCCTTTGGCCTTATCAGCAGCCTTTTCCTTCCCTTGGCCTTCCGGTCAAGCAAAAGCCTTCCGGTCCTATATCAAGCTTAAGCTTAGTAACAACCACCTTAGTAACATTCACCATCGACCCATTTTCCTTATCAGGGGTGACCCGCTCAATGTGAATGACCATTTTTTGCGGTAAACCTGAACAATTTTGCCCTCCCGGCCCTTGCAGGTCCCACGCACCACCTGGACCTCGTCTTTTCAGACCGGGATTGACCGGACGTTGTACTTGTGCCTGAGGTCTGACGAGAGGTGCGATAATAACTTCTATTGCTTTAGAATGTAAATTCATCAGCATCCGATAATAACTTCCTTTTCTATGATCCCTCCAGCCCATTGTATTTGTAGCTAGTATAGTGAAGATGATCCTAAGATAACAACTAAGAAGAATTTTGAAATCATCCCTTCAAAGTCACCTCCCAAGTCCCAACCAACTCCAAATCCCCTACATTTGAGCTGGAATCACATTTTGCGTATCCACAGTATTGGCAGGTTGTGTACTTGCACGTGATTCCTCCAACACCCGGAAAAAGGCATAAGGTCCCTAACCTACATTTAGAAATGGAAAATGGCTCAACTGGGAGAAAATCAAAACAAAAACAAAACACAGAGGCACTATGATGCATGTGGTCATCCACTCGAGATAATCCAACAAGAGATGTGACAAGTAGAGGAAGCAAAACAGTGCAGAGTTTAGCAACATGGCCTTGACGGTCAAATACTTTAGGTAATAGAATTCATACACATCTCTTCTACGAAGACAAAAGAGAACAAAAATCGCTATTGGCAACAAAACTGCATACATCTAGTTAGGCAAATACAAAATAAAAATAATAATAGTGAGAAAGCCCATCAATTACACTACTCCTATGGAAATAACTGCGGTTTTGTTTACAAATAATGGGGAAAAGTCGCTCACTGGGACAGCCCATAGAGAAATGGTGTTATCTTTCAAGGAATACTTTAGATCAGTCGTCATATTTTTCCCAACAAAGCGGTAAAAGGGATTGATAACATTTAGAACGACTTCTATCATGACAAGAAGCGCCAATATCAGCCAATCATGCACGTGTGTCCTTGCCAATGTCACACCATGGGACCTCACAGTAAGTGGTGACCCAAGATGGACTTCCCTCATTGTACTGTGCTAAAGAGTCATACACGCCACAATAAGGCTTGAGTAATTAAGAAACAAAACTGTAAGTAACTCTCCAAGAATACACTACGCCGCTAAAAAAGACTGCAAAGGTCAAAATAGAACACTCTAATTTCCATTAATAAATGAGATAGCATCTATGCAAATAGTAATTGTTGTCACTGATGGTATAATGCAATTACAGTTAACATTTTGGAACCCCCATATTGAATAAGAAGATGATAATCCCAAAAATAAAGGGATTTGAAGCCACAACCATTGTAGCATACTTTGTTAAATTAACCGTAAGGTATGAGAGGGGTCAGGGGTCCATAATTCATTGATAGCAATCTGAACGGAAAAGGAATTTGACTTTTTGCCCTAGTGAATGCTAAGGAGAAACAAACAACAAGAAAAACAATATTCGGCTTCTTGTCAATAGGTGGATTCAGAAAAAATGATGCTGTTGCTGATGAGGATATTACCAACTATAATAAAAACAATGTGTTCCTAAATGTTACAAATAGTACGAGTGACAAGAACAACAGGAATGTTTATGAATGAGAAGGTCTGAAAATAGCATTGCAAACAAATTAGAGAAATAATACAGATGAAAATACTAGACAATGCAACAGATAAGTATGATAGAATGAGAAGAAGATAAAAGAGGGTTCAAGAACTAGGAGAGGAATCATACATATACAACAGATGATGCTCCCATAAACGGTTAGCTGGACATAAATTTGCCTAGTCTCGCATGTTATAGACCCTTCAAGTATGAAGGGATCCCTGAACTACTCTAAAATGCATGATTATTTCAGCAAGACCCAGAAACTGAATTGAAATATCATTGCTCTTTTTTGGGAGTTGACAATTTTCTCATTAATGTTATTTACTTTAGCTGGGTATCAAAAATGCTAGTCTATATCTTTAACCAAGTCACAGCCAGTAATTTACGGAAGGTAAATATATTCATAAGAAAAAAAAAAACAGAGGTGATGCTCACATGACAATGCATCCACCCAATACAAAAGTAGAACCAAAAGATTTACAACAACCAAGAGTGTAGAATTCTAAAGAAAGTGCCAGCCTTGAGCTGGTACTTCCAGCAGAATCCAGACTCAAAGGAGACAAAGAAAGCAAAGAGGCTTCCATCA